TTGAACATTACTACATTCATTTGTTTGTTTAAATTCAAAACATATAAATTATTTGCAACAATTTTTTCAGAGTATTTTTTGTCAGACAATAAAATGTTTGTGTATTTATTTGTTTATTTATTTATTAATTAATTTATTTATTTATTTATGTTATAATTTACTTACACTCACTGTTTTAAACCTACATGACTTTCTAATTTTGAAGGATACTTTAATTTTATAGGATAGAGCAGCCATTCATTAAATTCCATTATATAAGGAACAGGGAAATTCTGTATCAAAAGATTTCATTTTATGTTCTACAGAAGGAAAAGCCAAACAAATTTGGAACTACATGTTTGGAATAAATGATGACGCATCTTTTTGATTAACAGATTTAATTTTGTCACAATATACATCATTTTTATACAGTTTAAGTCAGAATGAGGTGAGATTTTTTTTCAACACATTTCTAAACATAGTAGTTTAAATAAATCAATAATAAGAAATAAGTTATTTTATCTTTGCCATGATGACAGTACATAATATTTTACTGGATATTTTTCAAGACACTTTTAAACAGCTTAAAGTGACATTTAAAGACTTAACTAGACTAATTAGCTTAACTAGGCAAGATAGAGTAATTAGGCAAGTTATTGTAAAATAATGGTTTGTTTTGTAGACTATTAAAAAAGTTATATATATAAAGGGGCTTATAATTTTGACCTTAAAATTGTTTTAAAAAAAATTCAAAACTGCTTTTATTCTAGCCAAAATAAAACAAATAAAAAAGAAGCAATATTATCAGACATACTGTGAAAATGTCCTTTCTCTGTTAAACATATTTTGGGAAATATAAAAAAAATAAAAGGAAAAAATTAAAAGAGGGGCTAATAATTCAGACTTTAACTGAACATTTTTTACACTGTAAACCTTGTCCATTGCTATGCTACAATGTAGGTCTTAGAATGAGAACATAATATTGATATAGTTTTACATTTACATGCATATATTATCACAAAACTAAAGATATCAGAGTTGACCGCTTACAGACTAAATGAACAAAGGGTGAAGTGCTAAAAAAATAGATATTAATTTTCCTAAAATTATTTATACCTTATGAGAAATTATACTATTATGGCTTTTTTTTTTTTTTTTTTGCAGTCAAAGCAGAGGAATTACAAGGTTGAGGATCTTGTGGACATAAAGACTTTGTTAAATAAAGTGAATAATGCCATTAATAACTAATAACTAATGCTGGGAAAAAAATGTCTCCAAATTATTCGCAACCAAAACAAAAGTTTGTTTTGACATAAATGATTTATGTGTGTGAACTTTGTATATTTATTATGCATCTATGAATATTTTTAAACATATTTAAATTTAAATTATATATATTTGTGCTGTCAATCGATTAGAAAAAATAACTAATTAATCGCACTTAAACAAAATCTATCGTGATTAATCGCATTTAAAAGACTGAAACTTGTAATTTTGGCTATTCGAATGTAAAATGAATGTAAAAGCAAGACATATACTATTTAAATCCAATATATAATTCATTATAAGAATTTTTTATTAAACTTGTAACACAGATTTCTTCATGTAAACAACATACCCATAATAAACCATCAAGATCCTGGCTTGACAGCCATATTTATTACAGAAATTAAAACACAGGCATGTTATTGCCAA